TGACAGTCTATGTAGAAAAATGATAATGGCAAAAAAAAAAGAAGAACTTCTATTGCAAAATACAGTGTTTTCTATGCAAAACCTATAGAACCTGGGTTAAGTCATAGTTCTGTGTACTATTTAGCAGTCACTTAGTATCTCTGAGACTTATTTTCTTCATCTGAAAATAAGGATATTTTTGCCTACTCCATAGCATTGCTATCAGATGAGAAATGATAGCAGTTGTGCTTTAAAAAAAAAAAAATAGCTTGTGATTTAAAAAGCCATAAAGGGACTGAGAGTGAGAAACAGTAACAGTGATTATAAGACAAACTTACTCCTGTAACTCCACCTTTCCTTACACTTTTATGAGATAATATTAGGTTGATATGCATGTCCAATTCTAAATTGCCAAAATAGCATAGAAATTAGATACTGTATTGGTTAATGGTGGTAGAATAGATAATGAAAAACAATAAATTACTCCAAGGTCAAAACCCTTATTCAGACTTGTAACTCACTCGCAGACAGGCAACCTGGTAAAGTAGAAAAATGAAGTGAAACTTTGTAGACCTTCATTCCAGACAATTAACTGTGTGAAGATGGGCAAATCATAGAACTGTCTAGTCCTCAGCTTCTTCACCAACTTTCTGGATTTTTAGGATTTGGTAATTGAGTATAATCAGGGAAGAGGGAACTTCTCTGTGGCTACTGATGAAGGACGTCGTCTATTTTTTCTTCATTTTTTAGTTTTATTCAACATACTTTTATTTTGCACTGACTGTATGCAAAGGACTCTACTAGGATTTGTATGTAACTAAAACATTGAAATGTAGTTCCTGTCTTGTCAGAGCTTATGTTCAGTCTAGAAGGAGAGGTCACTATAATGCTAGTTAGAATTTAAGTGCCCTCTATGACAGGCACAAATCAAGGCCCATATGGGATTGCCAGCTGAAAAGACAGGGAAAAGAAGACAAAGACAAGGTGGCATTTGGCTGAATTCTGAGGGCTAAACCCATTTCAACAAGCAAGTTTGTCAGAGGAAGGCATTCCAGGTAGAATCACAGACTTGAGCAGTAGTGCCGCAGAGCAGCTCTGGAAAAATATTATACATTATTCTGCAACATACCAAGTATGAGAACTGGTGATTGAAGTTAAAGCAACAAAAGAGGGTTCTTTCCAGATTATGGAAAAACTCAGCAATAATCCTGGGAAGAGCTTTTCTTGTGTTTTACAGGCAGTAAATATGAGGGACATCCAATGCAAATCAACATACCTGGCAAATGATTAGACATTGCTATCAAGTGAGAGAAATAGGCGAAAGTATGCTCCAACACAGTGTATTAGTAAGGCCAGTTTATTCAGTGTTCTGTTGTCATCTTATTTTGTTTTATTGAGTTTGAAATGCTTAAGCAAAACCAGGTGAAAATATTTAGCAGGCAGTTGCCCTTGTGTGTGAGGAGCCTGGGGAAACAGTCTAAAGAGAAGATGCATACTTTTGCATTATCCATTGTGAGGAATTAGAAGCCATGGATTAGATGAGTTTTTACAAGTTAGGAAAGAAAGAAAAAAGGGTCAAGGACTGATCTTAAATTCCTACAAAATGTCCCCAGGAAGAGAAATCTGTGAAGAACACAAAAGTCAAATAGGATAGAACCAGGATAGTAAAGTGACAGTTGTGGTGTTTTGTTGTTGTTGTTGTTGTTGTTGTTGTTGTTATTGTTGTTGCTGTTTTTTTATCAGCACCCACCATATGCTTAACATTTATTAGGCTCTTTGGATACATAATCCAAATGAATTCTCATAGCTACCTTGAGTGCTAAGTATATTTATCACAATTTATAGATGAAACAGTGAGTACAGAAATATTAGATATAGCATAACAACTAAATGGAAAGTCTAGATTCGAATACAGATAGCTATAATAATACCTATAAAACTACCTGTAATATTCTTGCCTCTATAGCTTGCAGTATGTGCTAGGAGAGATTTTCGAGGAGAATGTAACTGTAAATGTCTTGTATTGTAGAGAGACCAAACCAGGATGGGCACTTACAAGAAATGTAATAATTAAGCAGTCACTTAATGTTAATACAAATCATTTTAGTGATCTCTAGAAAGTAATCTCCATAAAACATACTACATAAAAGCCAAAGGAATACAGACTTTTTAAAGGGTTGTTCAAAGAAAGTGAGAAAATAAAAGTAGCTGAACCTTTCTGAGAAATTTAATAAAGGAAAAAGATGGTGCAAAGATGTATGAAAGTTGAATAAAGAATATTTGGTTAAATGATTGTTTTTTTGTTGTTGTTTTCTGGTTTTGCTTTTTTAGTAAGAGGACTTGAACATGCTTACAGGCTTACAGGAGAAATGCAGAGGAGAAAGAAGACTCAAATTATTGAGGAAAACAAATAATGGAAGGAGCAAAGTCCTACAGGAGGCAGCAGGAAATAGAATCAATAGCATGCCTTGAAAGAAAGAAGCTAGTTCGTCTAGGAAAGAAAGTATTTTACAGAGAAATGTGTTTGAGAGAGGAAGAAATTTAAGAGAATATGCAGCAGATGTCCTGTATCTTCTCAGAGAAGGAAGATGTAAAGTCATCTCTTAAGGCAGTGTTATCTGGTTGTATGGCCTGGAAAGCATTTGGAATTCTTCCCACAGAGAAAAGCATAAGGAAAAGTCAACCAGAGGTGAAAAAAAGAATTTCTGAACAACTCAGTGGATACTAATAATAGAGTCAAAAATTTCTAGTTGAGCCAATTGGCACAATTTTGTGACTTTTTCTGGTAACACTCAGCTACCCAGTTAATGAGATCAGAGTGCACGATGCTGTTTTCCTAGGTGAGGTTTAGGAAGATCAAGGTGACAGTAAGTCAAAGAGACTTCTTGATGCCAAAAAAAGTTACAAGAAATTGGTTGGCAGTTGATCCAGACTGAACCTGGAGGAAGCTAAAAAAGGGTTAAAAGAACTAAAAATATAACCAGTGCGAAGAACAGAGTCATTAAGAAGAGATAGAAAAAAGAATAGGTGGTTATAGCCACGAAAGGAATCTCCGAATTCAGAATTTTAGAAATGAGATAGTTTTAAATGATCATTGTTTTTACATCTTCACTTTAAGTAGCATTACTCATCATGCCTTTCAGCTGTCCCCTTACTTATTAGAAAATGGAAGACTAGGAAGTTCAAGTGATTTTCCAAAAGTCACTCTATGACTAAACTCAGGATCTTCTGAAGAGCATTTTGAAGTTTTAAATAAAATAATAGCCATTACCATATTCCCTTAAAAAACAATGGTAGATATAGTTGAATGAGTGAAAACCAATGTTATCTATAATATAGTCACAGTAAGCATATAGTATAGATATATTTTCTATTTCAAAAGTGTATTATGGTATTACCCCCTCATTCCTGTTTCATCTTCCTCTTAAAGAAGAGAAAATATAAAAGTTTCCTCTAGATTGAATTAATAGCTCCCTCATCAGTATGCATTAGGGGAACTCAGCCTAAAAGAATGTGCTACTGACTGCCATACTAAATTGCAGTGTAAATCAAGTTACCAAGTTATTTCAGAGTGCAAATGTGCATGCCCATGATGATGTATGGGTTCCACCATTTTTGCTTCTCCCATATTTCTTACATTTTGAAAAGATACCTTCTCTTGATTATTGATCTGTTTTTAATCTTAAACTACAATAAAATGTGATTGGAATATTTAGGAATAGGAGGAAATTATTTTAAAGTTCTGTTCAAATAAATTAATGCAACAATAAATGTATTTTTTTTCTTATCTTGCTATACATCCTTCTTTTGACTTTTAGGGAAGGACATAAATTTAAACATAGAAAAAAAAGATTTGTATTTGGTGGTTTTTTTTTAATACATATATCCTATTTTACCTTGAAAATATTTTTTTGGAAGACTCATTTTCATGGGCTCCTTTTTTGGAGGGGGAGCATAGCGGGAGGGAGAGAGAAAATCTCAAGCATAATCCATGCCCAGCATGGACCCCAACGCAGGACTTGATCTCACAACCCTGACATCATGATCTGAGCTGAAATCAAGAGTCTGACTTAACCAACTGAGCCACAAAGTCACCCATCATTGAGTCTTTTTTAAACTTGAATATTTTATTTCAAAGATTCAGTCAAGAAAGATTGTTATTCCTCTCAAGCAATCACTTAGGAGGACCACAGGGAACCATCCTCCTGGATTGGAAGTAGCTCTTTGGTCACTGACATTGCTTAGAATTGCTGGGGGGTGCCTGGGTGGCTCGGTTGGTTAAGCATCTGCCTTTGGCTCAGGTTATAATCTCAGGGTCCTGGGATCGGCCCCTGTGTCAGGGTCCAGGCTCAGCGGGGTTGTGCTTCTCCCTCTCCTTCGGCCCCCAAGACCTGCTTGCACACTCTCTCTCTCAAATAAATAAATTAAATTAAATAAGAATTGCTGGTATATGGTGATAATAAAAAGCAAACTAAATTTTGGTAAACTTCATTATTGTTCTTAGACTCTGCAGACAAAGTACTTGCATTCAGCTTATCTCTAGGATGGACCACTCCATTCCACCCACAACCTTGGTATGCTACCAATCTCAAGTTCTTCTCTCTGCAGTTGAAGACTGACTAAAACGGTATTAGAGAAGGAGAATTTTATGATCTAAACTAGGTGCCCACAAGTTACAGTATTCAGGCCAAATCTGGTCCTATTACTATTTTTCCAAACACAGTTTATTACATTTATTTAACATATTTTACTTGGACTATTTTTGCACTACAACCACAAAATTGAGTAGTTGGATTAGAGACCATATACCCCTCAAAACCTAATTTATTTACTATCAGGCCTTTACAGAAAAAATTCACTGACCTTGGATCAAGGATTAAAGCATTACTTGCTTTGTAGACATGTAAGCAAGACAATCATTTCACATTCATATTGTAGGCCAGTAATTTAACAAGTGTCTTTGTGAAATGTTATCATTGACCAACATTATATTTACCTATTAGTTTTTCTTTGTTTTGTAGTCCCTGCTATGTGGATATTTGTTAGCAATGACTGATGTGGAAACTACATATGCAGATTTCATTGCTTCAGGAAGAACAGGTAGAAGAAATGCAATACATGATATCCTGGTTTCCTCTGCAAGTGGCAACAGCAATGAATTAGCCTTGAAATTAGCAGGTCTTGATATCAACAAGACAGGTGAGTTGTTTGACAACACATCTTTCTTCCAAGGTGGGATTATTTGTAGCATTTCACTGAAGAGGATTAAAACATGAAAAACCACCTTTGAAAGTAATCTAATAGCGTTACAAACAGTCTAAGGCAAGAAAAAAGTCAGTGACTAATTTCTTAATCACTCCTACTCCATTTTCAGTGACTTTTCTGTATAGGGTTTCCCACTCAAATGCAGAATTCTTAATCTTCTATTACTAATGCAATCAATAAAGCACATGGGTTTTTAAAAAATTCTAATCTATAAAAGCTCTGAAATTTCTACATAGAATATTTAACAAAGTTGGAACTCCTACCTTCAGTAACACTGGCCATTTCAAAGGAAAGGGTCTCTGGGACCAATTTTATTGAAAATGGAAGTAAAATTGTTTGTTACATCAATGTCTTCAGTAAAAAGGTCTCTCAGGAAAATTTGTCTTATTACTGGACTTTGCACTCTTCTTACCCAAGTACCAATGAAAAAGTAAAACAAGATTGTAATATCAAAGTACTTTTGAGTATTTAAAAGAATGCCATGGGGGCGCTGCCCGGCCCCCTCCCTGCAACGCCTCAAATAAAGACACTGCTGCTGCCAAAAAAAAAAAAAAATTAAATTAAAAAAAAAAATAAAAGAATGCCAGTAGTTCTTTCATCCATTGCTTTTGCAGGATTTAAAAGTGGATGTATTTCCCTAACAAATCTTGTTAAAAAAATAACCTTTAAAAGTAAAAAAAGGAGTTCACGATCAAGGAACCTCAGTGTTGTATACATGAAAAGCACTTATCAGTTTCTGGCTCATGGTAACCACTCAGTACTAATTTGCTATTAGAATTTTTATGGCAAAGCTTTCCAGTTACTGGAAAACTGAGTCAGAGTGTATGTTAATGAAACAGTTTAACAATGTTACCCTAACATACCTAGGGACAGTACTTTATTCAATGGCTAAAGGTCAGCAGGTCACATATTGGTCTTTTCAAATTCAAACTGAAAATAAAACTTTAATATTGCCACCTTGGAATATACAGACTTATGTATATTTTAGATTTTGTTGTTTCCCTACTATTTATTACCAGAAGTTACTTATCAAAGCAGCTCTCAGAAGGGGTTAAGGAAATTATTGCAATTTGGTGGCATGAGGCAAGTACAATTTTTTCTGTGGTCTTTGAGAGTTTGCTAATTTTCTTTTATAAGATTTTTATATATATTTTTTAAAGATTTTGTTTATTTATTTGACAGAGATCACAAGTAGGCAGAGAGTCTGGCAGAGAGAGAGGAGGAAGCAGGCTCCCTGCCGAGAAGAGAGCCCGATGCGGGGCTCGATTCCAGGACCCTGGGATCATGACCTGAGCCGAAGGCAGAGGCTTTAACCCACTGAGCCACCCAGGCACCCCAAGATTTATATTTTTCTTTATATATTAATATTCTATTTAAAATAATCTGCATTAATTTTAGACACCCCTAATATTATTGACAGAGCAGTTCCATTTCTTCTTCTTTTGTCTTCCCTGAAATTGAGACTCATCAGCATCAGGACCTGTCTTACACAAGAGAATATATTAAATTATTATATAACAATGGAAGAAATTGATTTTTATTAATAAATATAATAAAATTATTTTATATTTTATATTAATGGTATTATTAAACAATTTAGAATAATTAAAATATCTTTATGCTACCAAATGTCTTTTTTTCTAAACATTTGTAGATTTTAATTGCTATTCTCCAGGCTCCTAGAAATTTTTGTTTGTCTTCTAATCCTAAAGTCCAGAGCCAGGCAAAATGTAAACAATAGTAACTTTTTTATTATTCTAAGTACAAAGAACTAAAAATAGTAACTGCAATACTGACAAATATATAAATGACAAATGAAATATCAATAGCTGAGTTGTGGGAGAGACTTCCTCTGTAACTCATGAATGTTTCAACTTCTTTTTAGTTTATACTGCACAATATTGCTGTCCCATGTTTACCTTGATTTGTTAACAAGCATGTATTTAGCAATGGCTTTGCAATTGCAGCATTATGCTAAGGGCTGAGAAGTGTTCCGAGACACCTAGAAAGCCCCAAACCTCATGGGAGTCAGAGTCCTCATCTTGTATTTATGCAGTCAGTTTCATCCTTAAATATTCTACTGTCTTGTACCTGCCCTAATTTGACTTCATTCTTTTGATTACCAAGATCTGTTCCTGTTGATCAAGTTTTTGTTGCATGCGAATCTACATATCTCAGATTCAGGCCATCTACACATCTACACATCTTGGGAGGCTGTTTATTGCTGTGATAACGAAAGTAGTTTATGAACTGTGTATATATATATGTGTGTGTGTGTGTGTAATATATATATATATGTACACACACACATATATATACATATATATATGCCTGGTCATACCCAGAGAACTCCTTTAGAAACAGAAAGTATATGTATTGGGGTGCCTGGGTGGCTCAGTGGGTTAAGCCTCTGCCTTCAGCTCAGGTCATGATCTCAGGGTTGGGCTCTCTGCTCGGCAGGGAGCCTGCTTCCCTCTCTCTCTGCCTGCCTCTCTGCCTACTTGTGATCTATCTCTGTCAAATAAGTAAATAAAATCTTAAAAAAAAAAAAAAGAAAATATATGTATTTATGTAGAACTGCTTTTAATTTCCCTAATGTATGGTGTCTGGTGAAATGTTTTGTGTATACTTGTTAAGAGCAAAGGAGAAATTGCCTTTCAACATTTCCATTCAAAGAATGGAACAGCCCACTCACCTCTGTTCATTTGAATTATAGTAACAAACACTCAAAAACATTGATATAGTTTACATATTGAACACCCAAAAATATTTTGCTAAAACTCTAAAAAATCAGATGGGTTATCAACAAGTACTATAAATAATGTAAAATGCAATTTTTAAATATTTCTTAAAATAAGAAAGGAGTGAAAAGGTAAACTTGCTTCCCACTTTTGATTTCTGTCTAAAATGACTTCTGATTTCTGCAACCCGTAAAACTAGAAGTGTCATGATCTGGCTTTGAGATTTCCTAGCATAAATCATCACTGACCATTGTAAAAATTATTATTCTTTTCTTTTGTGCCATGCTGTCCCAAGTTCATAGAACCAGAATTAGCCAACCTTAAAAAACACTAATTGAGGAACTGATTACCAATAAAATATACTTGTCTCTATGAGAATTTCAGACTTTGTGAGTATTTCTGAAATTTCCAATATGATATATTAAGAGTCAGTAAATATAGGCAGTAGTTTTTCTTTTGCCTTTATCCTTTTTTTATTGTCTCTTACAGAAGGTGAAGAAGATGCACAACGAAATTCCACAGAACAAAGTGGGGAAGCCCAGGGGGAAGCAGCAAAATCTGAAAGCTAATATCCCACTTTGATAACTTCAGCAACACCTGACAATGTCTCAAATCTCCAGGCCTGGCTGGAATGCATTTGTTTCCAAGAGTGAAAGAGGGGGGGGAAAAGTAGCTGTGCTGCATTATAGGAATCTGCTCATTATCATGTCAAAAATGGGGGCAGAGGCTGTGGCTGCAGACAGACTTTTCTCTACCTCTGTCATTAGCAATGGTTGAAATCATGTGGCTTGTGTTTGGATGTCATTTTTATATGGATCCTTTCACTTGACCATATGATAAAATGCTTGTAGAGAGTAGCACTGACCTAGATGATGATTCTTCCTGCAGCATCTGGCCCCTCAAAATGTCAGAGGATTTAATTGTGTCTAATTGCAAAGGGTTGGTTGAACCCCAGAGTTTAAATATCTCTGGTCTAAGTATTCACCCAGTAAAAGAACCATCAGAAAGCACTGTTTTTAGCATTATGTATCTGTGTGTTTCTTCTGTGTTATTTACACTGTTTTGTATTATACAGTATACACGCTCAGCACTGCCCCCTTCTTTGATTGCTCATGAGAAACAAAAATAATGTATGTTACTGTGAATTTTTATACCACTCATTTTTAAAAGGGCTGCCTTTTTCCTTCTCCACAGTGTGGTGGTGTACACAGGATAGATCATACTTTTTTTTAACTTAATCTTTCCCCTTGATCCACTGTTGATGAATTAAATCTAACCAATTCATCAAGACTTTTTTGCTTTATTACAGAGGCATTTGAAAATATCCGCTAATGTGAATTTTACTTGAATTCAGTCTGTTTGATGTCTGTATAGACCAGAATTCAATATGCATATTTTGTTTTATTTTCAATTGGAGAACTTTTCCCAACTAATATATTTTTTAAAATTTTTAATTATGAGAATTTTAGAGAACAGGATGGTGGGAAAGATAAGATAATATTAAGAACAGGAAACTTTTTGTTCTAATGGAATCAAATTACTCAATGCTGTATGGTACTATTTAAATTGAGAGGACAACTTATCAGCATGGAGCTGTAACAGATGGAAAAAATTATCTTGCAATCATGTGGACACCAATCACAAAAGTAAAGCCCTTGCATTGTGTTTTTCATGTCTTTTTTCAGCCCTATCAGATACAAATGTTATTATGCACTTTTTAATGTTTGTAAACTTTTACTAATAATTAGTGTGAATTGCATTCTGATACAATAATAATCATCATTAGAAGCTAACAAAATCCTCATTAATACTGTTGATAGCCTCTGCTGTGTTTTGACATCATGGTTCTTCTATGGAAAGTTTCTGTGAGCTGTGTAATCCCATTGGTCAGTATTATAAAATCATTTATCAGTAGTAATAAATAAGGAACCGATAATATGCCCATGGCTCATGGATTACTGGACAAATAACAGATATCAGGAAGACCCTTTACAATAAAGAGCCCACTTAAATTATCCTCGAGGTCTTAGATACAGTCCCATTTGAGGTAGGTTAAACAGCATTTCCACAGATAATCTCCATGGATGTACCAGGAACTCAGCCCTCCTCCCTAGCTGCCTATAGGATGAAAGGTCAGTCTGCCCTCATCTCTCTTTACAGTACTTTCCAAATGAGTAGGATAAAGGCATGGGTATCATTTGGTCCTCAATCATGTATTACTAGAAAAAAATGTTAATAGGGTGAGTCTCTCAGAAAATAGAAGAGTAAATATTAGAGTACTTCATTCTAACCAGTTGGGCTTCAAAATGCCCAGTTAAAATTCAAATAATTCCACCTATTAATAGACTCACAAGTGGGAAGAAAGGTTCCTGAGACATTTTTAGACAATCTCTGGTAGTTCATTTAAAATATCCAACCCATAAAATCACTTTTTCAGTATCCTCATTTACTATCTTCATAGCTTTCTTGTGAATCTAGGTAAAGTTCTCTCCATCCTTAAAGTTGTGGAATTCCAAATTGATTACATGTGATTTTGTAAAGTTTAGGACTAGTGCTGAGTGTATGTGGAGACTTTATATTCCTATGTGATATACTATTATTAATGCATGTGGTGTCATGCTTGTCTTTGAATATATAATAGTGCTAAGTTGCAAAGTCATACGGAGCTTTTGAATTATTTTGACCTCTTACTGCTACTTTGTCTGCTATATTAAAACCCAGAGAGAGTCCCAAGCTAGAAGATAAAAATCTACTTTCCAAAATACCCATATCCTACAAATGTTGCTCAGCAGAAGTTCACAGTGTCTTCCAAATTGTATTGTAATATCTTACTTGCAAATCAATAATATACATGGAATTGAATTTTTAAGGAGAAAATGTAAAGGTAGAACACTAAGGCATTCGGTTTGAGAATATGTATTGAATGCCCTCTAACCAACTAACATTATCCTAATCACTTTCCAGCACATTTTCTCCAATTTAATTGTTTCTCCTCAGAGAATTTAATTAAAGAGGTAGTGTTATCCCATTTCACAGATTAAGAAATTAAGGCTCAATAAGTTATAACTTTTCCAAGTTTAAAAAGCTAATAAGTGATGAAATTAAGATTTGAACCTATCTTTGTCGGTTTCCAAGGAGCTTTCTGCTGCACAGGCCATATAATTAAAGCCAATTATAGAGCATCTTTATCTGTAAGGGAACATTTAGAGATGAACTGGTTCATCCCCCATATATTATAGAGGGAAACTGAGTCTCAGAAGGGGGAATTGTCTTTCTCAAGGTTACTTAGATGAGTAAAAACACAGATGTGACCAGATCATAGAAAGTATATTCCCAAAAAAAAAAAAAAAAAAAGAACGAAAGAACTTCAATTAGAGTTTTTTTGTGTGTGTGTTATACTTCAGAATACCTTTCTGGCATGTAGTCTATAAATTTAGCATGGTTCAGATTTTTTTTTATGTTCCATGCTACTTGTTTTGTTATTTAACTAGAAATACGAAAATTTCAGTTTTACTCATTTGTACTAAGTATGAACTTCTCAAATTTACCTTTTATCAATTATAAACATCCTATGCCAACATACTGTTCTCATAATTCATAGAAATGTTTTTCCAATATATAACAAGCAGTCTTTAGTTTTTAGGCAACATCCCAAGAACTGCTCACTATAAATGCCCTAAACTTGCAGTAAAAATGCACCATTTAATAAGATGAATGATAATTGCTCTTTCTCTTCAGAGAAGCAATAATGGGTAAACAAATGTCACTGCCAGGTAGCTTAGCTTCTGAGTAAAGCTTGTCATAATAGGAAAACAATGTGTAGTTATCAGGTAAAAACAGGAAACCATCTATGATTTATGATGTCTTAAGCCCCAAATTGTTCTTTAATCAAAGAGTGGCAGTCTCTGAAGTCATTTGTGAGCTTGTATGACTCTTGTATTTAGTAATGTTGCATGCTCACATAATTGATATTAAAAGTAATACATTTTTTCTGAAATGTGCACAGTCTATTAAGAGTATTTATTGAAAATAAACTACGCATTTGGTGCTTGAGAAAGTGCTTCGAGTGAGAAGGAGAAATTAAAGTCTCAGCCATCCTGTGGTGGACATACAGGACATTCTGGCCTCACGTTTTCTGGGCCTTTACTCCAATAATTTTCACCTCCATTCCACTCTGATAGCCCACTTCCTGGACTTCATCATCTACCAGAGTCAAATCTTAAATTGTAAGCACCACTGTCTTCCTGTGGTTCTTACTTGCTCGTCTGCAGGGCATTGATTTTTAATCAGAAGAAAGACCAGTGTTTATCAGAATCCCCTGAAAATTTTACAACACTCCTTCCTCCACCCATATACATTCTGTTTCTCTCACACGCTCATGCACACACACACACACACACACTTCCACCTTGAAAACACTCCCTATGTAACTTTGGCATCTTTTTCCTGCCCCACCCTCACCCTCACAACCTGAGAACCACTGATTAAGAAAAAATTCAAAGTTTCCAGATTAGCCAGCTCTGTTTATGCCACTAAAAAGGTTTAAAATGAGTCAGTAACAAAAATGGAGTGCTCACAGACACCACTGCTTTTACTCTATTAAGAATAACATCTTGGGGTAGAAAAAGCAGAGTTTAACTTCTTTTATTTTGCTGTTGCTCTCTGTTCAATCACATAAAGGGAGGGAAAGACCAAGCAGAATCCAAGGTGGGACCCAGGAGAAAGTAAGCATCAAATAACATCCTGAGTTCAGACAAGGTCTTAAGCAGACAGGGTAAAAGAGAGTGTAGATCTTTAGGTTCATGTTATTTAGGTCACAAGGATAAAATACTACACAGGGATTTGGCACAAAATGCTAGCCACGCAAAACAAATTCTTACTGTCTTTGGTGTTTCTTCTCTTTGTATACTTGTTGCCTCTATCTAGGCCAGAATGTGGGGATTTGGGATCCTGGCCATATCTCACTATAAAGTCAAAATTAATAAAACGTTCTGACTATAACTGGTTAACTTTCTAGTTTTTACCACATCTACTTTCTGATTATATCAAGATGAATTTTTCCATAGCAGCTCTCCTCCCACTCTGAAATCCACTGTTAACCTCCTCAGTGCTCCTGATTTTCTTACTTTCTTGTCTTTTCTGTCATCTCTGCCCAATCAGAACCCATCAAACCATCTGCTTTCACTTTACTTGCCTTCAGAATGACTAAAAAGTTTCTAGCAATGCTTATTCATTGTTTGTAACTGCATTTTAGACATGAGTGCTATGAAGCTCTTTTTTGGTCCTATTCCTGGGGATAGAGGAAGTTTCCCCACTACTGTCTAAAATGTAGGTTTTCATCTGATTTTTTTTTTTTTTTTTAGATTTTATTTATTTATTTGAGTGAGAGAGAGACAGCACATGAGCAGGGGAGAGGGTCAGAGGGAGAGGTAGAAACAGGCGCCCGAAGTAGGGCTCCAACCAGGACCCTGGGATCATGACCTGAACCAAAGGCAGACGCTTAACTAACTGAGCCACCTGGGTCTCCCAAATCATCTGACATTTTTAAACCATTTTCTTTCAGGAGGTCCGTTAATTACTCGTTTTTATTTCACTGACTTCACCCTTTTCTACAAATGTGCTCAAGTCCGTAGTTCCGCTCTTAACTTCACTACTTGTATTTCTCAGAATAGTAATCTTTGGGGCGCCTGGGTGGTTCAGTGGGTTAAAGCCTCTGCCTTGGCTCGGGTCATGATCCTGGGGTCCTGGGATCGAGCCCCGCATAGGGCTCTCTGCTCAGTGGGGAGCCTGCTTCCCCCTCTCTCTGTCTCTGCCTGCCTCTCTGCCTGCTTGTGATCTCTGTCTGTCAAATAAATAAAATCTTAAAAAAAAAATTAAAAAAAAAGAATAGTAATCTTTGCTCTTGTTTTCATGTTTCTCCTCCTTATTTCTTATCCTTTTGCAATTTGACTTACAGTTACATTTTTTTTTTAATTTTATTTATTTATTTGACAGAGATCACAAGTAGGCAGAGAGGCAGGCAGAGAGAGAGCAGGGGTGGGGTGCGGGTGTGTGTGAGGCAGGCTCCCTGCTGGGCAGAGAGCCCGATGCAGGGCTTGATCCCAGGACCCTGAGATCATGACCTGAGCTGAAGGCAGAGGCTTAACCCACTGAGCCACCCAGGCGCCCCTACAATTACATTTTATTACCAATAACATCTTAAGTAGTTCCTGGGCTTTTAGGATTGTCACGAAAACCCCAGTCAATGTTGAAATTAAAAAATGATGATGTTCCAGAGGACTCAAGCTTCTCCTAAAGTAAAATTTAATGGTTCTGTAATTCTAATTGATAGTTTGGCAGGGTTTAGCTGTATCATTAGGGATGGAATCTATGTATCCCAAGAAAAAAGTTCTTCAGGTTCACATCTTCCATCATATATGGTTGTGTCTTTTCTCTTCCGCCACATTCTCCCCATAATATTTGCTACATCTCCAGTCTTACAATCCTCATTTCTTCATAGGGGTGGTTGCACATATGTAGGCATTAGCCTGGAGCCTGGACATCCAGAGATGGGCAAGATTAGCTTGTGATGTTTTAGAGTTCTGTATTCCATTATACTCCAGGATGACTGCCAACAGTATCACTAGTTTCAAGGCAGCCATGTATAAGCAAAACCACTCAACTTCTTTGTACCCAGTCCCACTCTAGTTCTCTGAATTAGAACTAAGTGAATATATCAATTCCAGTGGTCAAATATAATGGATAGTTTGTGTATGTTTTACAAGCCTATCTTATGGCATTTAATCCTGTTCACCGTGGGATTTTTTTTGAGATGTTTCCTTTACTTTCCTACCCCATTCCCCCACCCCCTGGTCTATGTATGTATGTATTTAATACTTTGTTCCTTTTTTCTGGCAACTCCTCACTTTCTTTGACAAATCCCTCCTTCTTTATCTCCCCACTAAATACTGTGGTTCCTTGGGATTCTATCTTTACCCCTCTCTAATCCCAGTGTTCACATGACCTCTTCTAGGCTAACATCAATCACCGGTTTTGCTGTGATGAATCCCAGAGGTCATTCCTGATCACCCAACTTACTGGACAGCTCAATATGGATTTCCCAGAAGCATCTTAAAATTCAACATTCCAACACTAAATCCAGTGTATGACCCCAGTCCCAAAACTACTTTTCTTCATATGCTGCAGATCTCATATAATGGAAGCACTGATTTCTCAGCAATCTTATAATTCTTACAGTTCTCTTAACTCTTGTTCCTCCAATTTGTTTTTCACTTCATCAATTCTAATTCTTCTTGAAACGTCCCATTTCTTTTTGTCTGCATTATAACCCTTTAAATCATCACTTATCTAATATAATGCAATAACCTGCTGATCAGGACCTGCCTTGTCTGGCATTCTCACATCCAGATGAATCCTTTTAATAACCTAAGTCTGATTGTTTCACTCCCCTAAACTTAAAAAAAAAAAAAAATCCTTAAATTTAGCCAGACAAAAAACTTTTTGGTGTAAGTGCTACATATTATTTTTATATAACTCCTTGTTCTGTGTTTACTGTTTTCCTGTTCCTAAGATGTTCTTCATGCTTGACAGCAAGTTCTCATTGGTCCTTTCAGATTGTGTCCCACTTTACCCAAAATGAGCCTTTTTGACTTGCATCCT